CATTTTGCCGGATGCAGTCACATTGGTCTGCACCTCTCATCTTGCGCTTCCCTTGGTGCTCTTGAACTCGGTTCTTCTCTTCATGCCTTGTCTCTAAAATACGGAACAGTATCATCTAGCGTCTATGTTGGCACAGCACTTTTGAACTTCTATGCAAAATGCGGAGATGCAAAATCAGCTCGTGCGGTGTTTGATGAGATGAGAGACAAGAATTCTGTCACATGGAGTGCGATGATATGTGGCTGTGGCATGCTAGGTGAATGGCAATGCGTCTCTTGCACTCTTCATGGATATGTTGAAGGAGAACTTGGAGCTCAATGAAGTGCACAACTATATTAACGGCATGCAGCCATGCAGGAATGGTTGGAGAGGGCCTCAGGGCTTTTCATTTTGATGTGTAAGGAACTGAACTTTGTTCCCTTCCATGAAGCATTACACATGTATGGTTGATCTTTTAGCACGTTCTGGAAACCTTGAAGCGGCATTGGAGTTTATTAACAAAATGCCTGTCCAACCTAATGTTGGAGTGTACGGAGCTTTTCCCTGTGGGTGACTTCATTCAAGGTTTGACTTGGGAGAAGTTGCCCTCAGGAGAATGTTGGAGTTGCATCCTGATGAATCTTGTCTATGTGGCTCATGTCAAACTTATATGCCTCTGATGGGAGGTGGAGCCAGGTTAAGCAGGTGAGAGAGTTGATGAAGCAGAGGGGATTGAACAAAGTCCCCGGACGCAGTGCAGTGCAGATGGATATCAGCAATGATGCATATGACAGCATGGCAGCTTTTGCCTAGTCATATATAGATGCATCATTTTGTCGGAATAAAGATGTTGGAAACTGGTCAGGCTATGAAGAGTTTTTTAACAACTTGGCAAATGGCTTAAGTGAAATAACGGAATTCTAGCACCTGAAATATTTTTTTTTAGCATTCATTATAAATTTTATGGTAGCATAGATCTGTAAATGAGCGACTTATAGACGGTTAAATCCAAATTATCTGTAAATCTTATATCTTGCTTGTTAGTGTCCTAAAGAGCATTATGACCTAAACTTTCTCAAACATGATGTTATGGGAGAGATGAGGCACTGTTACTAGACAGCGACTGCTAACTCGTAAACAATAATATCATAAGAACCCATACGATCTTTATACATTCGACTATAGAACCCTACATCACATCCATGTTCCCGTGCCAAACTTTGGAAATTTTCCAAAAACATGTAAATTTCTTTAATTTGCCCATTCAGAAGTATCTCCAGCTCCAAATCTGTAGATTTTATTTTCAATCTCAATAGTGCTGTATCCAGGGACCTTCTGCAGGCTATTCCCCTCCATCCTTGATCTCACCTTTCTGGACTCAACCCAGTTTCCTTCTTCTGCATATATATTAGATAATAAAGTATAATATCCCTGTATCTCTGTACTAATTTCCCCAAGCTCCCTTGTGATGCTTCTAACCAAGTCCATCCTCCTGTGTATTCGACATCCATTAAGCAAGCTCCCCATATGCTAGCATCTACAGGTAGGCACATTGATTTTTATCATGTCATATGCCCCATTGATATCACCAGCTCGGCTCAAAGTCAACAATAGAGGCAAATGCTCGGTGTTTTGGCTTAATGCCATAATCTTTCATAGACTTGAAATATAACGTACCTTCTTCCACTGATCCTGCATGACTGCAGGCAGACAAATGTTCATGAAGGTTATTCGTTGGGTGTTATACCTGACTCTACCATTTCATGAAGAGCGAAATGGCAGCATTTATTTGACCATGTATACCATAACCAGAAATCATAGTACTCCATGATACCACACTTTTCTCGGACATGCTATCGAAAACTCCTTGGGCTGTTCTAAGGTCTCCACATTTGGCATACATGTCAGTTAAAGTTGTATCTATATAAAGATCCTTCCTTACGGCCCATGTAATGATCTTATGGTGAATCCATTTCCCCTTCTCTAGATAACCCAAATTGGAGCAGGCTTGAATTGCACTTACAAGGTTACTTCATTGATCTCAAGACCCTAAAGTACATTTCATCAAATAGGGTCAGTGCTTCTACCGACATGCCATTTTGAGAAAAACCAGACATCATACAGTTCCATGTCACAACGCTTTTCTGTGTGATCTTTTCAAAAATCATGCATGCCAAATCCACAAAGCCACATTTGGAATACATATCGATCAAGGAGTTATGCACAAACTCATTCATCAACCCTCTTTTTAACACATGGCTGTGTATCAGCTGTCCAAATGGTACTGAGCCGACATTTGCACTTGCTGAAATTGAACTTGCTAGGCTAAAAGAATCTGGCATTATCCCTTGTCTCAACATCTCTGCAAATAGTACCAAGGCATTCTCGCATAAACCCTCCCGAGCAAAAAGTGAAATGAGTGTATTCCAAGTTATAACATTCCTGTTTCCAATTAGATGAAGAAGTTTCTCACAGCAACATCTTTTCTGACAAGCAGCATAGAAATCTATTAGTGCAGGCCCTAGGTCCAAATCAGAATCCATGGCTTTTCTTAAAATAAAGCAATGAACTGACTTTCCCTCTCTCAGACAGCGTAGTCTAGCACATGAGTTTAGAATACTGATCATTGTCACTGCATTTGTTTCCACTTTTGATCCCTGCATTCGGATAAAAAGATTAATGGCTTCTTGGAAGCATCCACTTTGATTATACGATGACATCAAGGATGTCCAAGAAGCAGTACTTGGATCAACGAGGTTCTCAAATATTGTTTTCCGCACCCCATAAGTAATCACATTGGCTGTACATAATCAGAAGAAAGTTATTCAAAGTTCTATCACTTTCCATTTCTTTTCTGATCACATGTCCATGGACAGATTTTGCTAGCGTCGGACAACCAAATTTGGCACAAGCCTCTGCGACACTAAGGATGGAGACTGAGTCAGGTTCAATCCCTTCAGAAACCATAGAACGAAACGCCTCCAATCCTTCTCTTGCCTCTCCATTCTCAACGTAAGATGAGATGATAGAACTAAATGAAACCACATCCCTGTCACCCATTTTATCAAACACCTTTCGAGCATCACCTAAACTGCACAGTTCACCGTACATACCAAGCAATGAAGTCTCGATAACAGTATCACTATCTAAGCCGCACTTAATTATCCTCCCATGAACCTCTTACCCACACTCATGTCACCAATTCCAGAAGCAGCACACAGAACAGAGGGATATACGAATCTGCAAACATGGGTCTGCAAAGAAATCATTGATGATAAAGTGAAACAACATCCTCAAAGAAGTTGTTCCACAAGTGACATTTCATTATCACGCCCCACATAAACGAATCTGGCGACGTAAAGGTCCCGAAGATAAGTCTTGAAGATTGGAGGGAGCCCATCTGGGCGTAAGACTCGATGAGTTTGGTTGAAGCGAGTGGGTTCTTGTGGAGGCCGGTTACCACAAGGTGAGCATGGAGCTGGGTGAGTGACCATAAGCTAGAACACGACCTGAATAATGGCATGTATTGCGTCATTTTTTCTGCTAGTCAACCATGAAAACTGGTTCTTTTTGCAATCAGTACTTATGATTTCTCCTCGATAACGTGAATTGTTTTATTTCTGAGTAGGTTGGGATTCTGATGATCAGTTGCTACGCACCGAAGACGAACCCGATTAGATTGTGTTTACTTCATTGAAGAAAACGAAGAACATGAAGTCACGACCCATGATAGTACGGTCTCCGAAGGAAAAGAGAATCCAGACCCGTGAAGTACAGCTTATCAGATAGAAAGGTAAGAGCGGCTCTAAATATTTATCAATTTCTTTATCAACATTAAGCGGAAAAATTACTGAAAAAGTAACCATCCTGAAGATGATTTTTTTTTAAGTACTCCTTTGACTAAAAAATATAAATATTTTTTGATAATTTAAATATTTAAAAATATAAATTTTCAATATTTTAAAATATATTATTATATTTTTTTAAAAATGACATAGTAAGAAATTACTTTCTATTTGTTTTTAAGTTGAAATCTTTATTAAATAAAAGTAAATATAAAAAATAATGTTAATTTAAAAATAAATAACTACTTTTTTGTTTAAAAATAAAAGTTTATTTTTAATCGAATCTCATTTTCAATAAGTAGTTACATACTTTAAATTGATTTTATCTTTTTATATTTATCTCTATTAAACACCCTATAATAAATATAAAATCATTATCAATAGAGGTATTTTTTGTAAAAAAAAAGATAATGATTATATCTCAAAACTAAAAATACCTTATATTTTAAAATGTCTAACTTTTTAAAAAAATTTTACATTTTTTAATGAAGAAGTACTTTATTTGAGTTTGAGATTTGGTTAAAGATATTTTATATTTTTTAACGAAGTGATATTTGTATAGAAAAATGACTTCAATTAATTTTTATCCTTGAATTATTTAAACTATTTGAGATCTATTTTTTTTTTTTTTCCATATGGATCATCAGTTCATCACTATAATATTGGAATTTTTTTAAAAATAATAAAGTTAATTTACTTTTTTTTGTGGCAGGAACTTAACCGTGAAATTTGAATGAAATAACAATGCAAAAAATTAAAGGAACGAATCCATTATCATATTTCTCCCCAACACCAACCCCGCAAACATTTTCTTTTACCTGATAATGGATCTGAGAGTAGAAAAAAAATATATTTAGACTGTAAGAATGATATCATAATACCGTATTATAAATTATTATATCCAACCACAATCAAAGTTTTTCTTTAAAATATAAGAATATAAGAGAAGTAAACAAATGTACCGTGAAAATTGTCCAAAGAAATTTGATCACATTGAAAAACCAGTGTACAAAGATTAACCCGTACTGTAATTCCTGATCTCTCTATGTATATACATGAGTATACCATGGAGGCTTTGAAACCTTCAATAGTAAATACAAATAGGTTTGGTTTAGATGGAAGACTACGTGAAAAGAAAATAGGAAGGAGTGAATACTATATAAAAAACTACAAAAATAGTAAAAACTAAAAAGACATTTTCTTCTTAGTCTTCATTTTTTTCTTAGTTTTCTCCCTATCCAAACCAAGGGAAGATGGGCGAGCGCAAGAGGAAGTCATTCTTGAGGGACCAACAAAAGGTCAATGAGTTTTCCAGCAAAGATGATCAAATGACTCTCTTATATTAAATTGGGATTATTAACCTAAGATCTGCCTTCATCTTCATTATTTGGTTGGTCAATGGGTATTTCATGCCTTGGTCTGTTGTGCTTCTCCCTCAGTTGCTTAACTGGGATGTAGTCTCCTGCTGAATCCATACCATAGAATAGACTTGCGATATATGGATGATCCAACCTACTTTGCAAAACAGTTAACACCACCAATTCAAATCACAATAATGTTTATAGCATAGTCCATGTCTTTAATTGATATAGTGTTTAAGATGACCAAGTTAAATCACACAAAATATACCTTTCAATGGGAGACTTTTAAGTATAAAAGATATGCAGGAAAATATGTTAGAATTTTAAGAAAGTTGCAAAACAGAAACTCATTATAAATTATATGTTTAAATAAATAGTTCAAGATAGAGTCAAATGACATTGTGACTTTATTTAATAGAATAAGGCCTTATTAATTACCCAAAAAAAAAAAAGATTTATTATTGTTGTAGTCTATCGTTTCTAATGACAAATATCTATTATAAGATTATCTCACCATGTCAGGTGCATCAAGGGCTAAAAGATTCTCCTCGGGAACTGCAAACGAAGTGAAAAGATAAGTCTCCTAGTCATTGTCCTCAATTTACATCAAGGGCAAGAAATCAAGAACTAACTAGAAAAGTGCATAAGAAGAAATTGTTTGTCAACGTGAAAAGGCATAAAAATCCAAGGAATTGAGTAACCAGATTTACCATATGCCACCAGTAGATTTGGATCAACATGTACGTCAACTAGAACCTAGATAATCACATAGAGGAGGAAGAACCAATGAAAAAGAATAACAAGAACCGTTCTTAACTGCCAACTTAACTATGAACCAAATGAGACAAACTGTTCTGGAATTAACCGTGCTCCAAAAGTCACACTCATAGAACAATTTATGCAGTTCATGAGATGAAGTCAATCAAAACCTGATAAAATGGTTGAGATGAGCCACGGGACAACTTCTGAACCTTTACAGTTTCCATCCATGAACTTGATTCGCAGCATACTGGATCCATACCACATATCACGCCTATGTACTCTGCAAAATATATTGAATAATCAAAATGAGTGAAGAGGGAGGGAAAGCAAGTCTTTGGCTTTTAGGATAACGCAGTACACTTGAAATGCATACGGTGGAATCTGTGATGTACAATGGAAGGCATGTCAACTACGTACTATATACTTTATGCCTCACTTTCTGGCCCAAACGGAATGTGTATTGTGCTTTTTCATATGCCAAAACTTTAGCTGATGCAGCCAGGGTCTCTGCTTCGAGTTCAGAAATTTCATCACGTAATGTAGCAGCCAACTCATAATCTTCACTCGCAATTGCATTCTGGAGGTCTGAACTGCAAATGAGACGTATATAGTAGTTATCATTATTCAGGTTGGTTTAAAAAGTTAGATAAAAGCAGCTGTAGGGATCCAAGGATGAGAAAAGAGCAGGCTCACCGGAGACGTATCACACTTAAAGCTTTATCTTGAGCTTCACCTTTTGAAGGCAATCCCCGCTTTTCCTCTTGCTGTTTGATGACCTCTGCTTCAACCTTCCAAAAATACTACTTATTAAGCAATCCCACTTTGAGAAATTTTAGATAAGATGGAGATAAAGAAAGCATAAAGGGACAAACTCATTCACAGATCACAATCTTTCGAGTTACATATTATTGTTGCAGTCACATAAAAAATCACGTATAGCATTTTTTTTTATTTTAAAGTGAGATTATAAATTTCAGATTCAAGCAGACTACGCAAATATTTCAGCACACACTCCTTGATATATGATATCAAACCAGGATTAGTAGCTAAGTTATCTAACCTCAGAAAGTCTGTTTCTCAGTTGCTGTGCCATGTCGTACTGCTCCACGTTCAAAAGATACTGCAGTTCAGAAGTTGAAACCAACAAACAAACAAATAGTTGGGAATTTTTAGCATAAATTCAAAAGATGCATTAAATTATAAAGCTGATTAAAAGGGAGTAGAGGCAACCAAACCTGCACTCTAGTGGCCATGCTTAGCTGGAAAAGTAAGATTGCAATATCATCATAAGCCAATTCACTGCTCTCTGCACTTGCTTCAGATTCTCGTTCTCTCCCTCTAAAGAACCATGCTGCTTCAACCTTAAAACCATTGAACTTTGATGCTCTCAAGAACGATCTCTGCTGACACAGACTCCAAACGCAACATCTTTCATTGATGAAACTTATCTGGAATTTCTTAAATGGTCTAAAAGGGGCCGTCCAAGATGGGGATGATCCATAGATACTGCTTTTTCACAAGTTGTCAGAGTGTTCAACGACACACCTTGCACCATTCTTTAATGCCAACAAAATTCTTCCCTCGACACACAAAAGGGTAAACAGAACCAAAATTAATCTTTTGCTTGCAGAAATGTCCACTTACGTATACTGATGTTTCCAGTAAAGATAAGATATTTCGAAGCTTCTAAACGATAATTTGCAGTCACACCCAACAAAGAATGTGTGTGTGTTTAAATAACACATACAGGATATTATAGTCGTCCCGTTTCCTCAATGATTGGGTAATTGTGGAAACCGAGGATTAGGAATGAAAGAAGAGCATATAAGTATTAAGTATCATGAGCTTTACTGCTTCATTTTTCCAAAATCAAAGATGCGTTTCGAATGCGACTGTTGTGAGCAAAGATACAAAATGCAAGTTTGCAAATGATATTCGTCGGAGAAATGAAACAGGTAAAAACATTTGCAGTGTAATCCCTCGGACAAATAATCAGTCGATTAATCATTAATTTCGCACGAAACGAATAGAAATTCGACTAACCAACCGATTCCAATTTCCAACAGGGAAGAAGTCAAATACGAGAGAAATTATAAACACAACGTTCGAGAGCCTCACAATTTGAGCTTGAAGGAGCAAGGAAAGCAAACTTGGGCCACCGAAACGAATGCAGACACTTATTCCGACCCAATTATGAAATCCAAAATGCAAATTCCGATAAGGGTAAATTTATGTGGAGATGTGATTTTCACATACCCATATAGTGTATTTAGATTTAAATTTGAATATATTATCAGATTTAATTAAAAATAGTTTTTTAAAAAATATTTTTTACATTCACACAGATTGAAATTTGAGAACTCACATTATAACTCCTTCTACTAAGATCAATGTGGTTAGGAACATATTTTTATTGAAATAAAAATTAGATATAATCTAAAAATTAATTAATGCTATGGCATAGTTAATTTTTTAAACATACCATTAAGAGGCTTATGTAAAATTTGTACGTTCTTATCCCATTTTATAAGATATTTTATTAGAGTGACTTGATGTTTAATAATATAAGGTATTTTGATATAATAATTTATTAACGAAGCTGATTCCGAAATTGCCTCTCATTATTTCACTCATTAAATATCTTTCTCTCCTCATCTTGTAAATTTCTTATCCTTTTTTGAGAAATTAAGATTTCAATATGCATTTAATTGAACTAATTGATACTCAGAGATTTACCAAAAAAGAAAAAACCCCTTATAAAATCGGACGGAGGAAATAATAACTTGAATCCGTTAAGTTGGCCAACAAAATATTTATCTTGAATGTCAGATTCCCAACTTAACCCTATTATATAGCTAGTACAAAATCAGTGCATTTTAAAGATTTTAAAGTTAAGAAAAGCAAAAGTCTCATTTTATTTAAGCATGTTCTTGATCTATTACATCATCATTGCTCTCACATTTTCACAACAGCAGCACCATCAGATGGATGCTGCAGTACTATTACATAGGTTTGTTCATGATTACACAACTTTGAACAAGTTCTAGACATAGTTCTTGATAGAGGAACTATATCCAGTTTGAAGATCAAAGTACCTAGACCAGAGCATAACACCGCCATATTTTGCAGATCCTTTAATGGCAGGAAGGACTTTGGAGGTGAGATCTGAGACAGGAATGAAGCCACTGCCTGCTGCTTTAGTTGAAGCTGGTAGGCCCAAGAAGATCTTGTTGGCTGGCACAGATGACACCCACTGATTCCATGCATTTTTTAGATTGGTGATAGAGCCTGAAGCATATTGGCATGGAGGGTTGTTGTAGAATTGGACCCAAACATAGTCAAAAAGACCTGTCTTTAGGGCATTTCCCATCCAAGCATCAGGATATGGACACTGTGGAGCTGCTGTCAACAACACCTTCTTGCCCTTATTTCTATACCCTTTAGGTATCTGACAAGTAACCACAGTCAAGTTAGTCAGATTTTAGAGTAAGAACAACAATAACAATACTCCTTCACGTCTTTAATATATGACCCTTTTAACCGAATAGTATGGATTATGGTAGAAAATGAGAATTAGTTAACAATCTTAACTTTTCCAAAAAATGATGTCTTTCCAAAGCTATCATTCTTAAATAGTGGGTGGGCTCGCTAATGATCCTTTGATTTAGCGGCCCCCAATGGATCCTTGTGATCCTACCCCTTGATGCAATAGGTTAAAAAATCAAACCCCCGTGTGATTAAGGGGAAAAAATTTGTATGGGCATGTGGGATTATTGTATGGTATGTATTGCGTGAGTGTGCGTGAAATGCATGTGCTTGGAATCCCCTTCCATGGGGGGAAGGGTTGGATAGGATATTAAAAATAAAAATTGTGGGTGGGCCTTCTTTTTTTAAGGTACTTTGGGGTAAATTAAATAGGATCATAAATGCTCCATCATGATCTGAAATAGGTCTTATATTTAGGACTAATTAAGGTGGTCTTATATTAAAGATCGGACAAAGTATTTCTTATTCACTTCATATAGACTCGACAGAGTTGTTTCGTTGGTTGTCAGACTCTAATACAACTCTCTTCCTTTGTCTGGTTTGAAGTTGGCTGAGAAGAAACATAGGCAAGGGGACGTCAAAAAATTTTCAAATGAATTGGCAATTTAAGCTTCAATTGTGAGTACTAGAGTAGTTATGATGTGGTCCATGTGGATGAGGCTAAGTTAAAGTATGATGGTACCTGGCAAGCTCATCCCAGTGTTGAGTTGTGCCTCCTTCAATGTCAAAGTCAATGCCATCAAGAACAGCAGGTCCAAGGGGGCGAGAAGAAGAAGTGCCACCCAAGAAGTTATTCCACAAATAAGTGGCCACTTGCTTTGCTTCTACAGATGAAGCAAGAAAGTAGCTTCCACCACCTCCTCCTAAAGACAGCAAAACCTTTATACCTTTGGCCTGACATGACTTTATGTCAGAACTCAAACCAGTACACCCATTAATGGAGGGATCACAGTGACCTGCAAGGTTGATCTGAGGCTTCTGGCCGTTACCAAATGTTGGAAGAAAAGCTAAGATCACAAACTGATAGTTTCCTGTGTTACAAGCCTGAGCCAGTGTGCCTTCAAACCCATTTTGGCCCCAGTAGATTGCTATTCCACCAGCATCAGAACCATTTGCTAGTGATAATAACAAGATCAAGCACAAGATTGAGATGGGCGCTGCTGGCTTTTCGAGTGCCATTATACACCAGGTTTTTGGATTTTTTTTTTCCTTGAACTGTGAAACTTGTGTATGTTTTTGGGGTGTAGAGGGGTGGCTTTTTATAAGGGCAATGTGATGATGACGATAGTGAAGGTACAGTAAGTTTTGGTGCTGTTGAGCTGAGTGGAAATTTACCAGTTTGTGCTTTTGTTAAAAAAATCTTCCACTATGCTCCATTTTGTTTGATAAATTCCACCACTATGACCGAAGTAAACTGCACCTTTTAATCGTGGGCTAGTGGGGGTGGGGTTATGAAGAAATCTCAAGAAATTCCATAATGTTAGTGTTACATGATAATGGGTAGTTTATATTATTATATATTACTCTCTCCGATCATTTTTATAAGTCTAGACAACTTTCATGAAATTAAGAAAATTAGTTAATAGTAGTTAAATATAGTTTTTTAATAATTTTCCAAAGCAATCCTTTGATTGGTATAGTTAATTAGGAGGGGAGAGGGAGGGAGGATGGGAATGGGAAAAGTCAAGAGTAAAAAAACATGGGTATTTTTGAAAATTTATCATATATAAATATTTTTATTTTATTAAATATTGTAAAGGGTTTATATTAAAAATTAATAATGAGTAGGATCTTATTTCTTATGAATAGAAAGAGGGATTATTAAATTATTATATTAGATAGATATAAGTTATCATTAGACTAGAAATAGGACTTGCACTGATCGGATAAAAATCCTTAAACCTCAAGTCTTCATGTGTAAAGTAGAACTCAACTTGTCTGAGGATAAAAACAATGCGACAATTGGCCAGCACACTTGTGCTGGTTGGTGAGGATCACGATTCCTTCTCTCCCTCTCCCACACCCCCCTTCTTTATAAGATAAAATTTAAGTGAATTAAGCCTGAAGGTTTATCAGTACTAAGACATGTCTCTGGTTCAAAAAGTGCTTGTAAAGGTACTTTCAATAAAATTTAATTTCATGAATTTGTGGGTTATGGATCAGCTCTTGGCCAACTGAACTAACTTTTATTGGTGTCATGATTTCTATTTACTCAACTAAATATCATGGGACCATTACTTTTTTTTTCAAAAAAACTAGCTCATTAAGGTATACAGCACACTTGTTTATATACAACCAAAGACGGTAATTGCAACCATTCAAAGTAATTAATATAAATTGAGCAACATCTGAATTGTCCATTTTTTTTAAAGGAAAAAAAGGCTTATAAAAGAAAATGAATTGATTAAAAACATCTAAACCAAAGATTGTAGTGCGAATAGCATAGCGCTCACACCAAGAAACTTGTCAATGATCTAACCATTCATAATGACGTGTTGGATGTTTTTTACTTGCTGACCAAATTTCAGCACGATCCAATGGTTAACACATCTGAAAATGTTGATTTACTGAAGCTGCCTGTGGATATGCGAAAATAAATTTAGGTAGATCTGAACTCATGACAAAAGTTAGTAACACTGCTGCGAAGGAAAGCTAACACTCTTCAAAACCTGACTTATCGTGGGAAAAAATATTATATGGTTCTGGTACCATGAGAGCTATTAGAGACAAGTGAGAGAAACTAGAGAAGGATCGAAAAATGTCGTATCTATTATTAAGATAAAGGTTACATTATATACACAAAGAAAATAGAAAATACATTATATAATAATATCAAATAATATCTCCTAACAATAATTGAGATATATACACAATAATAATAAAAGATATTTGGAGAATATTTTAGATAATAATCAGTACCCTTCTCAAGTTTCTCGGATGTGAGACATGACATGAAGCTCCAGAACAATTTTTCATTTTTTAAGATATTTTCTTTTAAATATTAAATAGTTTAAAATTGATTTCTCTTTATATATTTTACAAAGGTAAAGATATTTTAAAATGCTTTAATGTGAACTAAGAACGGGCCTCTTAAACGGTGCAAAGCTTGGGATAATTGTATATGTATTGATATTAAGTTTTATAAAATATAAAAGGAAATTATAAAAAAAATTAAAATACGCACTTTGTTAGATCAGGGAGTGAAATCAAACTGCTTCGCTCCCTCCAGTAATGCATTGAAACCAGAAAACAAAATATGTTAGCACACAATAAACTCCTATTGTCACTATATATTGCTGAGGGGTCTAGAGTTTTGTAGATGAGTATTAAAAATTAAACTAGTTTTTAATTGTCAAAACCGTAATCAAACCATAATCAAATTAGTGATAAACAAATCATTATCATTAAACCATTCAAAACACTGGTTTAATTGTTTACTGGTTGAATGGGGTGAATTAACTTGGATTTCTAATTACACAAAATAGTCTTATATAACTTTAAAAATGATGCAATTTTTTGTTGATTATATAGATTATAAACACGCATGAGCACAACTAAATATATATACATACATACATATATATATATGTATATAGAATGATTGATACTGATGACGATGACTGATAGAGGAATGTAAATGTAAAAGCTGATGAGATGAAAGAAAAATGAAGACCTTCGAAGCATGACTTTATTTGAATCTACAGCCTTGAGTTTACATGTAATCAATTCAGTCAACCGTCTATCTTCAACATTTATAAGCAAAAAAAGAAAACAAAAATATATCGGATGTTATTTGGGACTCACCTAGAATATTACAAAATCAAATAATATTTCAATTACAGGAAAAAAAAAAAAAACTAGAAAACCAACGAACACAACATTTCAGGCCCAAACAAAACATCTTTCAGTCACCAGTGGTACAGATCGGGTAAAGAAGCAAGCACAGGAAAAAAAAAAAAAACTCCTTTCATCATCTGATATGCTAGAACTGTGTATATGACAAGATCATCGTCTTCGATACACATATCTTGTTCTGGGGTCCACAATAACACCCTTTCCTCCATTCACTTCTAAGTCGTGCCTGAATCAACAACACAAATTTATAGCCCAAGAAATCCAAAAATGAAAAAAAAAAAACTATATCCTCTTTTCCGAAATTGCCCTTGTCTAATCATAAATCAGAAGTGAAATATTCGACAAAACAAGAACAAACAGGGAGGCAGCTCATGAAACAGAAGAACTCAACTGGAATACAAAATCTGGGATGGTCAACTGCTCACGAGGTACATATCTGAAGAGCTGAAGAAGCCGATCAACATATACCACTTTCTTCCAAACCTGAAACAAACTTGTCAATAACAAAAATATATGTGGTCCTTAAAAAGGTTTAAGGCACCCTAGTAAAATGTAATTTCTAACATACCACGCTGTCCACAAACAACTGAAGCCCAAAAATTGCTGCTTTTAGTCCAAAAGTTGGGTGGAGGACATATATTGCCTACATTTCAGATTAAGTTATCAGAACAAGTACTCAAAAACATGAAACAGATTGCGCTATCATAAGTTCATACATGCAGGTTGCGTTGGTGCTTCCGACCAAGTATTTGTTGTAATCTCCTCATCCAGCCCATATCTGGCTGCCTATTTATTCAAAAGCAGTGCGGGAAGACGAGAACTTTGTCAACGAACCAAATAATAAGCATCATGAGTAAATCTTAAGCAACTAGTGCTAGCAGTCCTGATATTAAACCAAGGGTGGAGTAGATGTCAACAGTGGCAGAGTATTCTTAGACCAACATGAAATGCTTGGAAACTGGCATGCTCTTCCGGATGAATACAATGTCAAAAGGGTTCAACTATATTCACTATATCTTAATAGTCAAATCTCATCTTCCATTCATCTAACTAACCAAAGGCATTGTATTAGCAGAAGTTTGGCACTGTTCCAATTTATCTTATCTAAGTGCATAATTCACACAGAAATACTAGTTCGCAAAAGCAGTTCTAAATTAGTTTTAAAAAGACAGCCCTTGGCAAATTGGAATCCTCTATTTGGACAAAAGAATAAACCAATCTATACATTCTAGAAACCCATCACACGAGACTTACGCCTGTAGAGAAGCAGCCGAGTGGAAGTAGACAATAGTATACGGCTTCTGAATTATAGGTTCAAACTCCTGAAAGTTAAACACCAGATGCGATTTCAAATAGAGTTGAAAAGGAAACGGGGGAACAGGAAGGGAAAAAAAAATATAAAGATTCAAATTTACAAAATAAATCAGTTCTTGCAAGAGTGTTATGTATTCTCAACGTCTAGCAGATTAGATTTTATAGAAGAAAAACTTTAGCTCAATGACAGTAAAAATTGTAAGCTAGCTATAACTAAGTCACCTTCACCGCCTCACACCCCCCTCAACAAAAAAACAAGAAGAAAGAAAAAGTTTACCTTCACCACATACATCACAAATCGCTCCAGATCAAGACATCTTAGCAAAAAGTGTGCCCCAACAACAACCATTACAGGACGACCTTCACTGTCTACTCCACCACGGTATCTGTAACAAATATATCAGCATTAAATGCACGAACATAAATACCTTATTGTCTACCCCTTTTGCATGAAACCATCACATTTATTTGGTTAAGGAAAACAAACATTTTTCACCACGTCAGTTTACGAAGAAGCCATAAAGGATTGGAGAATTTTAGCATTCCCAAACTTCAATTCATTTCTGGTTGCCCAGAAAGACTTCACTTAAAATTCCTCACAGACCCCACTCCACCCCTCCTGGGGGGATATTTATTCACAGCAATGTATCTTTGAGGCTGGCTTTATTTCATGCAACTTGCTTTTCTTGAAATTTTTCTCCTTGTTCTTCCTAAATGCCAGTGTTTTATCAGTGGTGGGGTTTTTTCGGTTGTCACAATGCTCTGAATTTAGAGGTTGGAATCATATTTTGCTGGGCTGGACTGATTACAAACACACCAAATTACAATAATTAATGAGTCCCAACAAACATTTGGAGCTTCCAATTAAAACTGGAGCAGAGAGTATGAATGCAGAAGCTGAGTAGATCAATACTCACACAATTTTCATCTCTGCAATTTCAGAGAGATTTGCAGAATTTGCTTTAGAAAGGTATCTAGAGTGAAGAGAATATTCTTCAGCAGCAGACAAAGGAGGCCCACCAAGGTCACCAAATCCAAGCATCCTGGCACAATTCCACCCTCTTTGTGCTCGAGCAGTTCTCTCCCACTGCTCTTGACGTCTCTGATCAGGATCTTTAATTAAGGACATAAAGGCAGGATCCAGAAATGAATCTAAGTATGATGAACTTGAAGTCCTATTAAAGACACCCAGACAAGGAAAACTTATTCACTAGATTTTAAAAGATGGGTAGTTTAGTGTTCTATTGAACAAGCATAGCATAAACACATTTAGAAATTTGAAACTCATAAATCTATTGCGGTTCATTTGATCCAAAATAGTACTAAGAATTATAATATAGGCATAAAAAATCCTGAACAACTTCTAGCAGACAAAAAATGGACAGTACACTGCAATGTCTCTGACACCCAAAAATAATATTCCCTCTGATCCTATTTATAAGTCACTTCCAACATTTTCACCGAAACCAAAAAAAACCTTAAACCTTATTAACTTTGTCTAAAAATTTAACGAGTTTACAACTTTACCCCCTACTAAATATACCTACTCTAACATTTAATAATCTTCCTAACATTGAATAGGGGTAAAAGAGTAAAGATAGATATAATAATCAATGATTTTAAAACCAAACCAGCCCAGTCGACTGGTCCAGATTCCGGTTCGGTCAATATATGAAAACCGTTTTGAAAGTTGAACCGTTTCGAACCAATGGTTAGATCGGGAACTAGATCTAGTTTTCAAGAATCGGACTGTTAAAAAAAAACTTTTTATTTTTAGGAAATGACCAAGTTTTTAATCATTTGATATTATATGTATCATGTGGCTTGTTAAATCATGATAAACTTAAAATATTTGATTTTCTTTAAGTTAGATAGCAATTTTATATTTATTTCTTATATTTAGATTATTATATACATATATAATTTTTTTAAATTTAATTATTACGTCACCGGTTTGACCATTGGTCCAACCCGATTGAACCATATGAACCATGAACCGCTTACCTTTCCAGTTCAATGTCTGATCTGATTCTGAAAACATTGATAATAATCATTGAAGTACCTTATAAATAGGAACAAAGAAAATCTTCTCTCTCTGCTTTACAAACAAGACCAGAGGAGTAATAATTATTAACCCAACATTAGTCAGAGGCTGAGTCCTTGAGAAGATAAAGCATGCAAGACTTGTAAAGTGGTAACAAGAAATGTAAGATTATATTATATGGTCCATACAGACCAGTAAAATACTTTAGAAAAATAACATAAGCAGTAAATCATTCAAGTGTTAAAAATTGAGACCTGCGGGCCAAGCCAACATCGCTGACAGGAAGATCAGCTGGAGCTTCCATAGGCTTCGACACGTTCTTTTTAGGCAAAGGCTTTATTCTGATTTTACGCTCATCTATGACAGTCTCACCATTCTCATCCCCCACATCTGCAGGAAGCTTTGAGAAGGCCACCACCTCCTCATGTTTGTCCCGAGGAAAGTAAAGTGGAAGCAACCTAGATGGAAATTGGGGTGAAAAAAATTAAAGATGGGCAGAACAAAGTCTGAACACAAGTTTGGGGGAAAAAACGCAACTCAAAATAGGTTCAGGGTTTTGCACCCCAAAAAAAAAGGTTCAGGCTGCTCAAGACAACAACAGAGTGAAACATCAATAGTGAAAAATACCTTTTATATATTTCTGTATCAGTTGTGCTGGTAGTGCAAAAGACAACAGCAATTATGTTGTGTTTCTGCTTCTCAAGAAACCGCCTCACAGTTCCTGAATAGATGACATAAAAACAAAAGGGAAAAGAAAAGAAACAAGGTTCAGAACCAGAATTTTTATAAATTATCCGACAGTTGTTATCATCAACATTACAAAAATGAAAGCATAAACCTCAGGTCCTCTATGCAAGTCATTGAGAAGAGTTTCATGGTCCAAAATGTAAGTCACTTTACAAGAGTTTGTGAAGCATTAATTACTTTATTTTAAAAATTCCCTTCTAATATTTATTAGACACAGAATTTCTCCTTTAAATTTATGGTATTTTATTAGGGAAAAGGATGGAAGCCAAAGCAAATTTTAGACAATTTTATTCATGTAACTTTTTTTTCCCCTTGATGAGGTAGTTAAAAGTGAAATATTAAGAATTGGAGGGAGTATATTAGATGTAACCATGATGTATTTAACTGAAGTTTTGCATACGCCCCATTATGGTAGAGTTATGTGCGAAAACAAGCATTCTGTCTCCCTACTTATGGATGGGAAATTGATTCTAGGTGTAGGAAACTATAATTACTCATTATATTACTATTTGTTCATTTTTCTGACTTTTTTTAATTTCCCCATTATGGCCTTATTTTAAACAGCCCTACGTTAGTGTAAATTTCCAAATGAATTAGAGAATATCAGTCCATGATGTCAGTTTTCCCTCTTTACCTCTACTACATCAGACAAATTTTGTCGTCTTATCTCATTTGTTGTTAATTAATCTAATTTCATAGGAAAGAGAATTAACTTGAGAAAACAAAAATTAATTGACAAATTTTGTCATCTTATCTCAAACAAAAAGGTTAGCATGTTCTTTTTTCTGATCCTAAAGACGCAGTTGAAGTCCCAGAATATTTGTCAAACGGTTTGAATTGAAAACACATCATACAGAAAAAAGTCTCACTTATAGCTACATGCGCAGCTGGTTCACGGGGATAATTTTTTGCCTCAGTATAAATACAACCCATAGCAATGCTGCATAAACATATGCCAAGGAAAATTAAGTCATGGCTAGGCAATTCACTAAAACAAAACTTGCAAGAATTTTTTGACGTAATCGAAACAAAAACCTCTGAAGCCCACTTTCAATTAGAAGCTCCAGACAAGAGCGATAGCAATGACTTAAAGCATTCTCTGCAGCAGTGTGGTACTTCACAGCATACTTTGGACCAACAGTATGAATGATTCTCCTGCCAGATATATTTCAAAGCTATAAGATATGGCAGCATAATGTCAGTGTCAGAATCAAAGAACTAGAATGCCTCAGCGTGATATGTAGCTTGGCGTCTGATTAAATGACCTCAGATCCAAACCAAAGGGCAAGAAAAAACCTTGCAGGAAGGTCATATGCACCGGTAATTTTAGCCATCCCTGTTCGACATCCACCCTGTCAAAAATAAAGGCATGAGAAACAAAATTGACTTAGACATTATTCACTAAGCTGTTCCACTAGTCCCTAGCATGGCACTAGATTACGATAATTTATTTGGAGCTTACAGTATGCATAATGAACCACTGTAATTTATAAAATGCCATCTTCATCCAAACTACCAAACGAAATCCTCAAAGAATAAATCCAAACAATATCACAAAGCATTAAAAAAAATTCTAATAATAATAAATGTGTCCCAAGCTCCTATGTTACCATTGTAAAGAACATAATATCTTCATTGAAGAAATTAATACATCATAAGTCACTATACCAGCGTTGCACATTCTTCTGTAAGACCAGGTCCAGCTGCATCAAACAACCCTGGACTGCTGTGAGCTTCATCCAAGTTCTGTTGACCAGCAGAAATTAAAAACAGGTAAGAAATATTATTTCTATTACCCAATTATATTTATTAGATATCCATATCTAAAATGCAATATAGTGTTCTTATATTCCATAATCATGCTGATCAAAGGTATGGGGTTAATGGCTTGAACTTTAAGAATGACGAAAAAGCTCAAACAGAATTGGAAACAGACACAGGGTACTAGAACCAAATAAATGTGATTAAGATTAAGAGGAAACAGAAAATTGGGTCCAGTAAAATATTTTCAGAGTTAAAAGATGTTGCTTCGATAACTAGTATGGATAAATATACACAAGATTACCATCATTAGAGTTCAGAATTATGTCCTTAAATGAGCAAACTAATCTACAGCAACTAGAAATTTCATTGCATTCAGACACCAAATATGCAGAAGTCGTTTGGTGAACTAGCATCATTCATTACTGGCTTTTTTGTATACTATGGTATGCGATACCAAGCTATAAGATACTCTGCTATTTCAGATTTCCACATTTAATTTAGCAATTAAAATTTACCAAAGAACTAACACAATTAATATTTTGCAGAAGTTGTACAGCTAAAAATTCAAGGACGTCAAATCCCCATTGCTTTTTGGGTTATACAAGTCAACAACATGCGATTGGTGTCATCATATAGTTCGTGGTGCCCTCCGTACCAGCAAACATCATGAAGATATACTAACACCAGCTTCTTGGATATACCGAGATGTAATATACCAGGTTAAAGATGACGGAGTACCAAATGATTACTTGATGCGGCATAAGAGGTCCATGATTTGTGAGGCAATAACGTGGAAGCTCGAGCTAACTTTCTTTCTTCTTCCCCGTATCTGTGTGTTTCTTTTTCTTTTCTTTTTCCTTTCTTTCTTTCTTTTTTGATAGCGTTAAGCTTTAACTTTCAACCAGTGGAAAAAAATGAAAATAAAAATATTCATAGAAGCTTCACAATCGGCCTACTTGAGAAAAACCATATAAGCTAGGAAAATAGAACAAAATGCGATGATAACAACTAAGAATTCACATTCATCGGATTTGAAACTCAACAAATAACTTCTAGTATCGAAAACACTTTTGGTGCGCAAAACTTATGAAGCACTGACCTCGTTTGTTGAATTTACCACAGCATCCACTTCTAGATTCCAGGGATTCCCTCTCCACAAATATATCTTTGAATTGATTTCATGGTCAACAGGAAATTTTGACACTGACTCAGTGCCACCACCCTCCGTTCCTGACGGTGTTGTTAAAGGATCAGGAAAGTATAAGCTAGGAAAAGATTTATCTCCTATTTCATGCTCCAATGAAGACTTGTGCTCAGCATCACTCCATCGTGGAATTTGATCCAAAGTCACAACAGAGTCCCCGCTGTCAGTAGGCAATCCACCCCGGGGTGTGGCTGAAGTAGCCACAGGCCGATACATTTCTGTAACTCCTATCTGTTGGTGAGATTTCCAGTTTCCGTGCCACAATCACTATGACATACGAATACGGGTAACCCTACTGGTGATGTTGAATTAACCTATTTTGGCAGCCCCGGAAGAAAAACAGCAGAAAAGAGCGCAAATTTGAATATAAAATTATAATTAGCAGTGATACATCACCAAAAGAAAAATGCAATTTCATGCATGGCATACTTCAGTTATACTTCAATAGCATTTTCTGTAGGTGCTCAGAACCAAAAAAAGGTGGGGAGGGGGAACGCTGCTCTCGTAGTTTGATTTATACTTCTTACTTAGTTGTAATTCGCAACCTAAACAGAGATTTTCTCGTTGAAGTAAAGAACGAAAAATTCCGATATTAAGGCAAAAAAGAGGAGCCCTAATTATTAGAGCAATATGAAAGCGAGAATACCTGCAACTGAGTTCCAGACGTCCAAAACAAATCCGCTTGTGTTTTCACTTCCGTTTCCACGATTACTTAACTTAGAAAGAAGAGCAATTATTGCTGCGACAATGGTGATAATTCTGGCTAGCTCATATCACATGGCCCAGAACGAACTCACGAAAGGAAAAAAACGATTTGACGAAGCATTTTGCCTTTGTCATTTTCCGGCCTTTCCAAGGCTCTGGTTGAGATTTCATTCATTCAATGATTATTAGCCAGTACCCAGTATGGTTCATGTGATGAACTAATTTCCGTCATAAACATTTATTTGAGTTCAATGTCATATTTCTTAATTTTATTGCTTGTTACCTCCCTATTAATTAGCTAGAAGTAAAATTTTAAAATAAATTAGATTAGATGATCAATTTAATCATATCAATATTTCAATATGATTATAAAGCATAGCATTTTTTATGGAAAATAATATCATTTTGTTATGAAGTATTATTATTTATTGTATTAATAAAATCCATAAGTATTTAAAAATTCAAGATTTTTTTAACTAAAATCCCCATTTACTGATAAAGGATCAGAATTCGTTTTGAAATGTTTTTTATATTTATACTATATTACTGTATATTTGTATTCATAAATCACACACACACACGTAGAAAGAGAAGGCCAGAATGGGACTAACAAGGTTTGTGAAGTGGGAGAGGAGCGCGTGGGTAATGAGGAGGAAGGTTTTACAAGAAGACTCCTCAATGCAGATTCGCAACGTTGCATTCAGCAGCCGGCGTCCTGGAGACTTCTCCTCGTCGTCCCTCTCATACAGGACAGGTCTCTCCTTGATAATTCGAATGAGTTAGACTTGTTTAAATTAAATTTAAAATATCATAATTTTTAAAAAATTTATATAGTTAAATTCGATCTTAATTTTTTTCAGTCAGGTAGGATTGGCTTGTCATGTTTGATTAAAATTACCAATTATATATATATATAAAGCTAAAAAATTTTAATAATCAAGCTCAATTTGGGTTAGTTTATATGGATTTGTTGACTTAAAATATCTTACTTTTTTAAAAAAATTCATATAGTCAAATTTAGTCTTAATTTTTTTAAGTTTGGTTCGGGCTAGCCCCATCAAGCGTGGCCTGAATTACCAGTTCTAAGTTTTTCTTAACCTAAAAACAAATTGAATGAGCCTTTACAAGATAGAATGAAAGGGGGGAAAAAAATTAGATAGGATTTGAGATCACTCTTGAGATATCATCCTATCCCAAATATAATATACTTATTGTTGTTGTTGTTGTTGTTGTTGTTTTTATAAAAAAAAAAAAAAAAACAAACAAACAAACTATCTCATGCCCACGAGTCACACTAGCAAACTTACAATCGTCTTCCGTTCTCCCTGAACCAGCAAGGCCAAAGGCTTGGTATTGAAGATGCTTTTGTTCTAACCATCTGGGGTTCTAGCCACTGTAGTGTTCAACTCCTGAAACTCGTATGAGGTGTTGGCAGATTATTTAATGTGTAAAGTCCTTTTCACACTTAGCAACAAGTGATTATAATTGACCAAGGGGAGAGAGGAAGAGAGGCATAAGCTTGTTGATATTCTGCTTTTTGTTTCCAAATTATCGCCATGTTTTCATTTAGCTGTAGCGGAAGTTGGAGGTGGCTTTGCTTGGCTTTTATATTATTGCCGAAGCAGGCACCTGTCTCTCCGATGTTTGTTTGCATATTGGTTTTTGGTCATAACACTTGATTTCTGGGCATGTTATTGTAACAATGAGCGTTTGCTTATTGTCTAAATCATCAATCAAACTTATTCCTTTCATTAGTCAAATATATGTTTGTTTTTGCCTATTTTGCTTAAGCACGCTTTTGTCTTGTCCCGATTTTAAAAAAGATGAGATAATTTTCAGGACAGAATGTAATATCATAGTGATCATATCATTCTAATAAGTTACTTGAGATATATAGTTTAAAAAAGTTTAAGCTTAGAGAAAAGTAACATTTTAAATTTTAGGACTTAATTAAAATTAAAAAGAAATTACTTTATGATAATTTAAATTTACCATGTAATTATTTGAGTAAAAGGAATTTACTTAAAATGAAATAAATTTTAAGGACTTAATTTCATTACATATTTTTGATAAAGAAAAAATTTATAAGGTCGAGTGAGATTAAATAAATAGCCTCTTAACTTTTTATTTAAAAAAATTACATTTATTTAAATGTTATTTAAATAATATTGAAACTAAATGCAGTTAAAATTTAATTTCTTATTTTAAAAAAATGATTTATCATAAATAAATTATAATAGTTTACTTAAAACAAGATAGGGAAAAAGTGAAAAGATAACAGAAAAAAATATAATAAATGATAAAGGAATAAGCAAATAAATAAAATAATAATAGGTTATAGAAAAAATAAAAAAGTAATAGTTGTATTTAAAATAAAACCAAAACATTATATGTATATTTACACACACATAATATTAAAACCAAGGGGGCGGGCGGCTACCATTTGGGGGTGGGTTATATAAAAGGGTGAGGCAATTCCCTTGTGACCCAAACAATTCTTGTGATTCTCTGACGGTGGAAGACTGGATGCTGAAGAATGGTGTCGTGGAAAAGTTTCAGCGGCAACAGGGGTTAATTAGGTGAGTTTCAAAAACTTGCAGCGTTAATTGAAATAAAAAAACTAGGTTTATTTATTTTTTAAAAAATTACATATAAATTACACACAAAAAAATTAATTACTGCAAGATTTATTATCTTATGTTAGTTGTTAACGGACCTCATAGTAATTAATTTTTTTATATAAAACTTCAATGTAATTTTTTTATTAATTTTTTTATGTAAAATTTCAACAAATCGTCTAATGAATCAATTCATGCATAATTGGGTTAAACAAATCATTTTGTGTTGAAAAATAAAGTTAAATTTTTTAATTAATATCATCAATTTAATTTATGGCATCTTGTTAAGTATTTACCAAGCTATAATAAGTTGGTCAATTTCTTTTGTTGTGCATAGTAGTGTTTTCAAAATCAGATGAAATCAAACAATTCGACTGCCACCTGCTGATTAAAATGGCCTAGTTCAATCAGTTAAGCCAATCTAATATTTAAACCAAGTTAATCAAGCTAATTTTGAGAGAATTAAATTTGACTCGAAAATTGAAGCAGATCATGTCAAAGCCAAAAAATAAAAAATTTAGGTTAAATTACTCATATTTATGTTTTTTTTTTTATTTTTTAGTTCTCTTTTGTCTTCTCTTATCTCATCTCTAATCTATCTTCCATAGCCTAGACTAAATCTCTAACTTTTTATCCAACTTCTACCTCTATCTTTAGCGATTTCACCTTTAGTATCAAGATTGGAAGCTTGTGAATTATAACATGATGGTGTGCCTCCAGCTCTAGCATTTTATTTCAAGATTACAAACTTATACTAACATGTCTCTATTTCTAGTTCTAGCAATCCAAATAAGCACCATCGCTAAATTAATATTTTATTTATACATCATATATATATATATATATATATATTATTTTTATTTAATTTTTATGTTATTGGTTTACCAGTTTAACCGGTCGAATCACGACAAACACGACCTCAGCTCAACCTCTAATGCAGGTTTCAAAACATTGATGCATGGCATCTGACTCGATCCAAAAAGCAACGCTGAGCCAATGAGTAAATCGAAATCGAAGACGCAGGACTTTTAAACAAAAACAAAACTTATTGCCTTACGCACATGCATCTCCTTGCAGAGTTTAGATTTTATCTAATCTTTGGTCCAAAGTAACCATTGAGTAGTAATAAGCGCCACCAATAGGAACTAATTCAACCGAAGCAAGCCATTGAATTTCCTAACACGAATCGTTCATCTTCTTCCACTCACCGATCAGTCTCTGGACAGAAATCTCAGAGCTCCCTCCACCATCAACGGCCTTCCTCGCCGTTTCTTTCACCTTCTCTGCTTTCATCTTCAAACCTTCATTCTTCATCATCTCATCAATGGCGTCTCCGATCTCTTCTCCTCTCACCACATTTTCTCCCGCCCAACCCCACGTCTTCCTCCATATGCCCCACCCAGTCTTCTCCACCACCTCTGCGTTCAACTTCTGGTCTCCGATCTGTGGCCAACCCAGAATCGGCACGCCGTGCCACGCTGCTTCCATCACCGAGTTCCATCCGCAATGGCTCACGAAACCTCCCACTGAACTGTGACTCAGAATATCACTTTGATCAACCCATTCATTCACTACCAAACCATTTGACTTTAATCTCTTCATCAGCTCCACCCCAATGACTTTCTCTACATCGTCTTCTTCTTCTCTGTCTACCTTCTTATCTTTCACTACCCACAGAAATTTAAACCCGCTTTTCATCAACCCGTTTCCGATTTCTCTTACCTGTTCTCTTGCCATGCCTAACCTGCTTCCGAAGCTTACGTACACGACGGACCCAGGAGACTGATCGTTTAGCCACTTCAATGGTGAAGAATTCCTCTGTTCTTCATTTTCACTCTTCTCGAACTCACAAGGCACGAAAGGACCTATTGGGAACACGGGGGGCAATTCTTTGACCACTTTTCCGCTGTTTAGGGATTCAAGAGGATTCAGTTCTAGTGCTTCGAATGAGTTAACCAAGATTCCACATGACTTTGGGAGCTTGGGACCGTCTTCTAATAATATCTTGGCGAAGACATTGTTGGGAAGAAGAAGCAGAGGAGGGATACACGATCTGGGTATGGTTGAAACTCCTGGAATTTCAACAGAATCCATTTCAGAAATGGATGGAATGAATCTGGATACGGATGAGAAGAGAGATAACATCCTAGCTGAAGAAGTAAAGAGGATGAAAATGGGAAGACGAAGGCTCTCTGTAATTGGAAGAACAGGGGAAATCAATGTCACATCGCAGACAAAAGCAGAGAGAGGAGGAGAAGCCGAAGCGAGCAGAGAAGGAAGAAGGCAGCAAGAGCGACGGATTGCTTCAAACTGGAGAAAAAAAGGGTCGTCGGAGTTTGCAGTGGAAGCATCTAAAGGAAGGAGATGAAAGGGAAGAAGAGAGACCTGAGGAAAAGCAGAGTGAAAGCGAGAGAGATGCTTGGATTCGGCCATAGAAACTGTGGGCTGAGGAGAAATGACAGTGACTCGGCAATGGCGATCCACGAGTAGCGCGGCGAGTCTCAGAAATGGAGTTAAATGACCCATGCCGGCGTTAGGGAAGAGAGCCACGTGAACAGCCGCGTTGGACATGTTTTCCAGCGACATCTACTCAGCTCAGACTGTGACACTGTGTAATGGAAATTGCTTAGAAAGACTTTTCACAAAGATGCACCCTGCGATTCTTATAGGGGGCGAAAAGCTTTGATTTGGATTTGTACTGAAAAACATAACTTTCTTCTCTGTAACACTAAAAAATAATAATATAAAAATTTAAAATATTAAATATATATATATATATATATATATATTTATAATAAAATTTGAGTGAAGTTCAGAGATTCAAATTATATTTTCTCAACAAAATTTTCACATCATAAATTACATGTGTATCTCATCACTTATTTAATAAATATTTTACATACATCTGATATATTACATTAAAAAATATTAAATATTAGATTTTTTGATGGGATATATACGTAGTGTTTTGTCCATGAGAATTATTAAAAAAAAGTTATCTTAATAAGGTTTAAATATTAATAAAAATCAAATTGTCAAGACACTTGGTGGATGTAAGGAGAAAAATTTGCCCTATCGTTAAAGTAAAAGAGCATCATCATCGAGGACTTGAATGCATTAAGGACATGTGGCCTTGAAAGCATCCGAAAAGAAAGAGACAAATTTTTTATTCGTTTCATTAGCATCGGAGAAGATGAAATAAGATTATTGCAGTCTCGTGACATGAAAGTTAGTCAAATACAAGGAAGCTTCCAGCTGGTGTCCAAGTTGCATCCTCTTCGAGTTTTTTATTCATGGTCAACAATTGGCGTCTGCGGGTTTTATTGATCAACAAAATATAACGTGACAGCGCAGCTGATAATTCTTTTAAGGAAAATTATTAAACATAATAGTAGGTTGAATACATACATACATAATTTTTTGCATAGCAAAGCAAATAATTTCGTAAATTGCTCTTGCGAATCTTGCAACACGTTTTGAAACGTAATTTGTGGCTCCACGTTGTATTAGAGAATATTGACTCTTAGACTTTGTTTGCTTGCAAGAAAATGAATTCGGTTAAAAAAAAATTTGAAGGGAAGGGAGCCAAAATTTTCCCTCCCCTTCCATTATTTTTGGCTTCTTTCAAAATGAAATTTTTTGGAGGGGCCAAAATTTATATTCCAATCTAACCCTCATTGATTTTGTTATATTTCAATTTTGCCCTTCAGAAAATAGAAGCCGATAACTAGTGTTGAGCTCTGGTCATGCATTCTGGTTCATTTATGCAAATCCTTGTGCTTTCTCTGGCTGTGTGTTCCTGTGCTTCCTTGATTTCGAGCTCTGGCCGTTAGTTCTCGCTTCTGCAAATCCTCATGCTTTCTTGCTCGTGTAGAGCTCTGGCTGTGCATCTTGTTAGATTCTTTAAGCTCTCGTCGTGCTTCTTGTTGGATTCTCTAAACTCTCGCCCTGTGTCTTGTCTTCGGAGCTCTCGCCATGCTTTGTACTGTCGAACACTGTGAGTTTTTCTCTTTTCTTTACTCCTCTTGCCCTCTTTTGATTCAAGCTTTGATCTGGATCTGGTATGATTTGTCAATAGTAATTCTCTTTAAATCCAAAGTCATATAAATGTCCTTGTTCTTGATCTTGGAACGGTAAACCCCATCTTTTCCTTGCTCACGATGATGGGGTATCAAATATTTATTCATATAAATGTCCTTGATCTTGGAATGGTAAAGCCCTACAGGTTGACTTAGAATTTGAGGCAAAAGCCACATAATCTAATCCCATTAAATGTTTACAATCTAAAGAGAGACAATAATTATGATCAAACTCAATCACCTAAATATTAACATTGCAATGTCTTGTATAACAATTATGATCAAACTCAACCTTTTTTTTTTTTCCTTTCTCACAGAGCAAATAGAACCGTCAGAACCTAGATGTAGACGTTATACAGGATGTAGACATTGCTGGAGGAAATGAAAGTGGTCAAGAAAATCAATATTACCTAGATGTAGACGTTCTGTTGTGGCCTGTTCTTCCTCATTGAAGTACTCAATTTGTTGTTATATTCAGTGGACTGTATGTAACCAACTGAAATCAATTCATTCTAATGCTAAATTCTGCTTTCATTACTCTTATTCATAAAGAGGATTGACCTATTAAGGTGCATGGTTTTGCACCTATGAACCTGGGATCTAGTGTTTAACAAACATTAATAAGGTCTTTCTTTGAGATTAGGGTAGGTTCTTAGAGGTACTATCTCTGTAAAGCAAAGTACTTTTGTGGCAAGAAGGCAAATCTTGGATGCTGCTTGTGCTGGTAGCAAATGAAGTTGTGGAGGACATTACACATGGAAAGTGAAAGGGATTGACTTTAAGTTGGATTTTTGGAAAGTTTATATTAAAAGTCAGCTTTCTTTGTCTAATGTCCATAACTTAACTTGCTAGCCTAAATCTAATTTCTCCATTTGACTTTCCATGTCTAATGTTCTTCATAAGTAACTTTATTATTAAATGTATGTGTATTATGTTTCAGAAGTTCAGAAACACACAATCTTCTATATTTGCATTGCGAAATGGCTTGGCATATTTGGAATATATTTTTTAATCTTTGTGGACTTGTAGTGTATTTGGTTAAAATGGGGTGCTAGTGTTCAATTAGCAATTCCTCACACACCTGACTGCTTGATGAGAGAATTGGTTTCAAGTTTCAAGTATTTTTGCTCTTATTTGTGATAATTATTGGTTTACATTATACTTTTTGATTTCTTTGTTAGATGAGTAAGGAATTTGAATATCTTTTATTGGTACAACGTTGGTTTCAATTGCTTCGAAGAGCACTAGCTCTTGTTGCTTGTGTCCTTGCAAAAGTATATGCAAATGAGACTTGTTCTAAAAAAATAAGTTACAATTTAAGTGGTAAGAGAGAATGTTATGTAATGAGATAATTAGTTAAATTAGTGACTATCCATTCAGTAGAAATATCATTAGAATAACTCCTAGAATTGTGTGGTATATTAGAAAGCGAGGTTAGCCTACAACCCATGCAATGGTCAAGCGTGGAAGAAATGGTTGCAAAAACTCTATATATGTTAACATATAGTGCAAAAAATTGTGAAGTTAATTTTTGGTTTAGGCATTTTGGTGAGACAATTATTCATCATTTTCATCAAATTTTGATAGCTATCATTAACTAAGAAAAAAAATTTCTTATTCAACCTAATAGTTCAACCATCCCTCTTGAAATTGAGAAAGAAAAGAAGTTCTTCCCATATTTTAAGGATTATGTTGGTACTATTGATGGAACACATATATGAGTTAAGGTATCTTCTTTAGATATTCCTAGATATCATGGTAGGAAGGAATTCCCAACATAGAACGTGTCAGCAACATGTACAATTGATCTAAAATTCACTTATCTACTGCCTGGATGGGAAGGCGCTGCATTTGATTCAAGAATCATTAAAAATGCATCAATACGAGAAGACAAGCTTATAATTCCTGAAGGAAAATATTTTATCAATTTTGATAAATTTTAAACTCATGTGATTGTAAAATTATTATAATAATTATTTTCCTTTATGATAGGTAAATATTACCTTGTTCATGTTGGATTCATGTTAACAAGAGGACTTATAACACCTTATCAAGGAGTCCGCTATCATTTTAAAGAATATTCAAAAAGGAATTCACTTCTAAATTATATAGAGTTATTTAACCTTCAACATGTAAAGTTATGCAATGCCATTGAACGTGCTTTTGGTGTGTTGAAAAAAATATTTACCATTCTACCTAATGCAACTAAACCTACATATGGAATGAAAGTTCAAAAAATGATTATATATACATGTTGCATTCGTCATAACTTGTTTGGGGGCATGGACCCTATTGAAGATCTTTTAAACGAAGTTGATACTGCCCTTGCAAGAGAAAACCATTCAAATAATAATAATCATGTTCAAAGAGGTGACAATAATAAGGTTGCTTGAGGTAAACTTATTAGAAAAAATATAGCCAATCCGATAGGGGCAGATTATTAAGAAAATCTAGATGCTCTTCATGATGAACTTGATGATTGAAGTTTCATTTTCTCAAAAAATTAAAAAATCTGTTGTATTATTATAGACATTAAAATTTGTTGTATTATTACATTGAGCTTTATTGAGGTTTGATTAAACATTAAAATCTATTGTCACATTGAATCTTATTTGCTTTGTATTATTTGTTTAGTTAGACATTGAAATTTGCTTAGCTTTTAATATTAGGATTGGTATTATGTGATTAAGTTGTTATATGATAAGATGGCACCAAACAATAATAAGAAGACATTGAACTGGACAAGAGTAATGGGTGATGCCCTCATCATTGATGCTTTCATGACTGAATATCATGAGGGCCGTAAAGTTAAAACACTTTTACAACTACAGCTTATAAATACATATGTAAATATTTAAGTTCTTTATACGATAAACATGATAAGGAAAAAGTGAAGAATCGATGGAAGATTTTAAGAAAAAAATTTTCAAATATATATGACATTTTCAAAAGTTTGAGTGGGTTTGCATGGAATTCAACAACTCAAGTATGGGGTGCTGAGCTTGAAGTTTGAGATATATCAATTGAGGTAAAGTTCCTACATATGCATTGATTATATTATTGTTTAAGTATATGTTGTTCCTATATATGCCTAAAGCTTGGTTTCCTAAGAAAAAATTGAACTCATATATCTGATTCTTTTACAATTTGAAGATGACTAACACATACATCTCTTTATTCTTTTATAATTTAAAGTTGGTCAAGTCATGGCTATATGTGTTTAATGGTCTTTAAAAATGAAAAAGTGTGCATTTGCCATTGAATTGCTTTTTCTTGAATCAATATGCTATTTCACTTGTTTTTCAGGTTAAACCTAAAGCAGCGCTGTGGAAAACTACTTCTTTTCCAAACTATAAAAGATCATATTATATGGAGTAGATAGAGCTAGAGGAGAGGAAGGGGAGACAGCATGTGAGTAGAGAAAGAGATGTCATTCTCAAGAAGTCACTAAAATTGTTAATGATATTAACAACCTTGTCTCACAAAATAGAGCTACAATTAATGTTGAACTTGACGGATAAAATAACTTACCAGGACAAGAAAATACACCTGACTAAGAGCACTCACCCACTATTAATAGTGCATATAGCAAGAAGAAAAAGAGGGTGTCAAAAGGGAATAATACTAATATGAATGAGTTGACAGGAGTAATGCTAGCTATGGTTAAGGCAATTCAACAAGGAAATGTGATCATAGGATAAAGTTTCAAAAAAGTGCCACAATTGTTAGATGAAGAACTTTAGATAATGCTTAAAGAGTGTGGGTGTGATGTTGCAAGATTACCTGATAATGAGGATGATAGGCTTAAGACAGTAACTCAATGTCTAACATCGGTATGGAAGGAAGTGATAATGAGGATGTTTTATAATTCTAGTTAGATAATGACTTTTATTAATAACTTTTGTATATTTTATTAGCTAGATGCTTAAAATGTGGTTCTTGAGTATTATTAATGACTTTTGAATATTTTGTTAAATGCTCAATATGTTAGATGCTCTTGGGCATAAAAAGATGACAATTATTTATCTTAGTATTTATGTAAAAAAAAAACTGATGTTAATATTGGTATTTTAATTTCTTTGGTAGGCAGCCTCTTTCAATGGATATTAAGATTTTTTTTTTTGTATCAAAGAATTAAATGTTTAATGTGTGATTCTTTGATAGAGAAAAAGGAATTTATTATTAATAGACAATATATATAATTCTTTCTTATAAAATTTTTTACCCAAGACATTAATTGTTTTATATAATTATTAATGAAAGTGTCATTTATTCGGGGAAATAAGTAAAAAAATTGATAAAATTAGGGTTCTTTTTTTTTAAAAAAAAATTATACAATTTAAGTTTAGATGTAAATTTTATTTGTATGATAAAAAGTTTAAAAATAAAAATCTTTTTGTATAAGGGTATAATATAACATCCAGGAAATTTAATTATGGTTAATTTACTTAACAAGTGTGATTAGTGAGTTGATATGGTGTGTGGTTATAGAGGTGTAATTGGTGTAACTAATTGTGTTTTCAGCCCTAAATGCGAGTTTGGAGTGAAGTTGGGTTATTCGAGTAAGGAAAGAAGTAGAAAAGGTGAAGAAATGCTCTCTATGCCACATGCCATGGCATGTAGACAATCTGCCGCGGCGTACAGAGACAAAATTAACTTGATTAGGCTTTCTTGTGCAATGCGCCACGGCAGGAGGCTATGTGCGCTGTGGTGCATGGCTAAACATCTAACTTAATCAATTCGTCTCTGTGTGCGAAACCAAAAGAAGAGGAAGGTAGAAAATGAAAGGTACTTCTAAGGCTCTGTTAGGGCATGACATTAGTTCCTATTGGGGATATTTTGAGGCTGCCAAACACCCAAAATAAGTAATTCATGCTTTTCTCTTCCCTTCTCTACCATATTTATGAAGAGTCAAGTTAAGATTTGAGTTGGGAGAGTAATTTTCAGTTCATAGAAGCTATAGGTCCGAATTCACTGACTAAAATGGATATAATGTGAGTGGTTTAGAGTATTTAAACCCTACTTTAATGATTTTGTGTACGGTTAGTTGAGGGGACCCATTTATATGCGAAAATTGCAATAAAAGTGGGTGTTGGTGGTGTTTATGACTTATTAATGGTGGTTTATTGATTCAATAAAGTCAATGTAGGTCAATGAAACCTAGTGAACCCATTGGATATGAATGGATAGTGAATTATGAGATTGATTAAATAAAGAATATGAAGTTATGATATTGGAGTTTGTTACAAATGGGATAATGATGATATCATTGTTACATAATTGTAGAGAAATTCATTTTTGACACCATTCAAGTTTGGAAGAAGCTTTAGAAGTAATTAGTGTGAGGGGTAAATTTTGACCTCTCAAAGGTTTGAGGTAATCGAAAGAAACTTATTTTTTATAGTTATATGTTAATTAAGTTAATTGTTAAATTTCACTTAATATGAAGCTTATTTGTTGATAAAATCTATGGATGCAAATTTTGGCGAAATCGTGAACTTATGAAATGGTTTGAAAAATAAAAACCTCTTGCATGCCACCCA